TGCAGATGATATAGTCCTTCTAGGTGAAGACGCTGACAAAATGAAGCAAAGTCTTCTGAACACCTTGAGTTGCAGTCTGCAAATGTTTGGTGTGCGATTTGCTCCGTTCACTCGAATGTAATGCTACAGGACTGGACTACGTTGACTCCTTAGCAGACGTGATATCCGACTATCGGTCAAAAGGCATGTGTACTGATCAGCATTCCGCTTCGTCCTCCTCTATGGCTGTGAGCGAGACATGGCCATCGAGAGTTGAAGACATGAAAACGCTAGCTGTCTTTGATCATAGCTACCTACGGTCTATCTCCCGTGTGAAGTAGTATAATAGGGTGAGAAATATTGAGGTAAGGCGCCGAGTGCTAGGTAAACAGAGGAACTAAATCGATGAGGCTGTGAAGTTACATCAACTAAGATCGTTAGGACATGTGTTGCGCATGGTAGCCTAGCCATCGTCTGCCTTCCTCGATAATGGGCAATGTTGGCTGACATAGGACGGATCAGATTGGAATAGAGCCAGTGGTGGTCAAACCAAGACACGGCCACATCAGTCAATGAAATCCACAACAGTTAGTTTAAGTCAGCCACGTGGGAAGGTATAGACTGGCTGTCTGAATGGTTGGGGTCCTCGGGACGGTAAACACTAATGAAGGCTGGAGACAACTGGTGGTATGCTTCAAAATTGTTCTCAGTACCTGGTGCAGATGCATCCACTCCCTGTGACTTTTAATTTCGAAAAAAAATGTATTGTTCTTTCTTATTACTATTACTTTTGTCTCATATACCTGTCCGATGTCTCTATTTTGCATTTCTTCTATTTTCTTCTCTTGCTTTGTGTGCTAGAAAGAGTGGAGTGAGGAGACTTGAACTTCTGCACATCGGTGCAAAGTTCTATGTTGAAATCAGTCAGTCAGTCAGACTCCTTGCTTTTCAGCTTTTCTCTAACTGACATTATATTGTGATTAAACCTGGATTAAATCAAATCCCCTACAAATTAACTCCTGAAAATTCATTTGAATTGTAAACTAATGAGTACACAAAAAAGCAACCAGTCAACACAATAACACAAAAACGCCCCTGAACCTAACAATATCATCCTACCTTTTGTTTATAATTTTATTCCTATATTATTATCAACCTTTAAGTCTAATTGAACTTTTAGATTTTCCCGTCGATCTATTGGGCCGAAGTGCTCAGTTTCAGGTTGACATGTCTGCTTCTTGTGCAGATGCTTCGATGATGTCTGGGCATTTAGTTAGTATTTAATTGGTGGATGGTGACTAGTATTGGAATCCAGGACAACGCTCATCTTGCCCTATTTGTGACTTGTCACCTGGATGTACCTGCATTCCCTATGAGTGATGATGTTCCCACCGAGGCTCGAACCCAGTGCCCATAGTTTCAAACGCCAAAGCGTCCAATAGAACGACGGGAAAATCTAAAGTTTCAATTAAATTAATATGACCATTTGCACAAGAGGTGGCTCTCGTCGCCCAAGTGGTCCAAAGGATAACGCTTTGGTGTTTGAAACTATGGGCACTGGGTTCGAGCCTTGGTGATGGGAACATCACCACTCACTGAGAAATGCAGGTACATACAACAGCCGACGAGTCCCGAATAGGACGAAATGCGCTTCCTTGATTCCGCTGCTAGTCACCATCCATCAATTAAACGTTTAAGTCTGTTTCTCGTTTATGTGCTACATCTACCGAGTGAATGGTATTCTCTCTTTGAAGGTCATTACTTCATTCGTCTTCCTTAGATCACTATTCATTATGACCTATGATCTGATTATTGATTTCAGACAAAGGTACAAGATCTTATTATGATGACAAATTGTAGTATACCTTCATTCTAGACAAAATAAAATAATAATTTAACATAAGACCAATAAGGTGTGATAAGCACTCAGTGTGGTAAAGAGAGAGAGAGTGATTAGTTTTGGATACTAAAAGAGAAACTAAATGAAGATAATGGCCTGAAAGACAGAACACAATTGTTATCCGTAGAAGAAATAATAAAAGGGGTAGAATTCTGTCTGACAACAACGACATATTTCACATTCGAAGGAAATATATACCAACAAAATGAGGGATTAGCTATGGGATCGCCTATCTCACGAATTATAGCTGACATATTCATGGATTATTGGGAGGAGAATGCCCTTAAACCATTCAAATCATCACTAAAATGTTGGTGGAGATATGTAGTCGACACACTAGTAATAGTGAAAAAAACGATACTGAGAAACTTTCCTCACACATAAACAGACACGTCGACTCAATAAAATTCACTATGGAATTAGAGAATGAAATTGGAGAACTGCCCATGTTAGACTGCAAAATACAAAGAATGGCAGACGGTAGCATAAAAACAACGATATATAGAAAAGCCATGCATTCTGGAAGATTCCTTGATTATTACTCAGCTCATCCACTCTCGGTAAAACGAAGATTAATACAAGGTCTTGCAGATAGAATACGTAGACTTACGACAACACCAGAGGACCAGTGTAAAGAAATAAAAGTCCTATTCAAAATGCTACTCGAAAACAACTACCTTAGAGAATTTATAAAAGATAATATAAAAAAGAGAAAAAAAGAGGGTAAAACCGGAGATTAACATGATGGAAAAAAACAGTCGCAATACCATATAAAAATGGTACATCAGAGGCAATACAAAGAAACCTCAAAAATATCGGTATTCGAACAACCTTTAAACCGACAAATCTAATCAACAATAAAATAAATCAACTGAAAGATCCTATAAAAATGATGGATAAAAACAATTTGATTTATAAAATATCTTGTGCTGACTGTCTAACTAAATATGTGGGGCAAACGTCCAGATCACTCAAAATAAGAGTGAATGAACATGAACGCCTAACTAAAGGTCAACCAACAGGGACACAAGCTTTTACAAGAATCTTGAAAAAAATTCATCGATAGCTGCACATGCATGGGACAAAAATCACAATATCGATTGGGACAATGTGTATTCTAAAAAACAAACATGAACAAATGGAAAGAAAGACTCATAACAGAATCGATATTCATTAAAGTCACACCGGATACATGTAACAAGGGTGACTCAGTAAAACTAACAACAACTTAGAATATAATTCTGAATCCAAAAAAGCATGAATGAGCCAAAAAATAATAACGATTTATGTATATGAGTACAAATCATAAATGTGTGAATAAAACAATTCCAACAGTGGTGTGAACACGGGCAGTAATTTTGCTCGAAATATTACCAATAACAAAACTTATCATTGTGTGTAAACTATTAAAATATAATTATACTTTATTTGATCTAATCCACAATGCTCAAACTTTTTACTGATATTAAAGTTTTGGATACATTTAACATGACAGGGCATGCAGTAAAGCTGAACAAAAAACAACGAAGGACATTTACTTGTTAAATGAATCTATAGAAAATCAAAAAAAGTGGTGATTCAGCGAAGAGAGACTCTCGCCAACAACGAATTTATTATCAAGCTGTAGAATGGCATATATATAGGGTTTTTTAAATAAGAAATTATATCCGGTGAGGGAATTAGGTCAAAGGTGTGAACACACGAAATAATAATAATAATAGTAGTATGAAATGCAATTAAAACTAAAATGTTTGTGATTATAATCATAGTTTAATGTCAAGTGGTAAAATAATTAATGTCATATATATAGAATAATACATAAGACGGGTGTTTAGATATTGGAAAGGGTGTGCAATTATAGGATTAGTAGGCAAATCGAATAAATAAAAATAAAAACGTTACGTAATATTGTATGAAATTTGATAACATAGAATTTAACGTTGTAGAACAGAATTGATTTAGAATGACGATTGGTACAAGTTGGTACCTTGGGCTGCTTTGATTTTAGTTTTCAAGCAGATTATTCTCGCTTTCTGGCGGAGTAAGCACTTCATTAGATTCCGTTTGTATTTCAAGGACACGAAACTGTAAAAATGAGTATACTGACCGGTTAGTTATTTGATGTAGATTTTCTATATACACTTCTTATTATTGTGCCATCCTCTTTTCTAGTCATAAGGATGTCTAAAAATGAAATACTAGAGTGTCTTTCTCAATGGTAAAATTTATTTCAGGATGAACATTGTCAAATTTGTCCAGGATGTCCTTTGCTTCATCCTCACATTTCATAATCAAAAATGTAGTCAAAATTGGTAGACAGTAATTTACGTCAATGTTTATGTCCCCAGTATTGGTCGTGAGAAAAATGAGAACAAAGGCTTTGCGTAGGGGGATACATTTAACATATATATGATCTGTCATTCAAGAAACAGCCACAACAAAGAGATACAAGGTTAACTTTCTGTGAGAAACAACCAATCAGAAGACTGTGTTTTTCTGCTAACAATAATCTATAATAATGTACATGAAAATCTATAAATATGTGTTGATTTCCATAATAAACGATCTGATGCCTGGCCCTTGTCTTCTGTTGCTACACCATCACTTTCATGTTCCATAGTAAATTCAATATTAGTATGTGCATCATTGAATAATCTGAGTAGATTGGTAGGAAGTATGACTTTCACTGTTGCACACTACAAATGTGTCATCGACATTTCGACAGTAAGAAGTTGCTTCGTTGATTACAGGCTTCAACTTTGTTCTTTCAAAGTTGGACGTGAATATATATATCTGCTAAAACAGGTCTAAGTGGACTGCTCATAGCTACACCATCTAATTGTCGGTAAAGAGTTCTGTCGAATTGGAATTGTACATCCATGGTACACATTAACATTAGGCGTTTGAATTCCGAATATTATGTACATATATATATAACTGTAGAACCTGATAAAAAGAGACAGGTCATCGAAAATGTGAATATTCTTTGTTGAGTAACCATTCTTTTGAAAATCATTAATATTCAATGTTACTTCATATTTGACTTTTATTATTATTATTATTATGATATTTGTCTTCTTCTCATTTCCTTTCTTCTTTTTTTTTGTCATTTTAACTATAGTTGATACAATTTTATGCCCGAAAGATTCATCAGCTATTGAACTTTTAACAAAGTATAAATGTACAATGAAAGATACAAAACTGTGGTGTGATATTGTCATACGAATTGGTTTCTTAGAAATTCATGAAAGTCAATTAAGCGAAATAGACGATTTAAGTAGAATTCATGGAATTAATTCCTTTTTGGTAAGCAAATATTTTTTGACACTTCGATTAATATAGACTAGAACACAATATTCAGCGAAGAGACTCTTGCCAACAACAACGGATTTATTTTCAAGTACTGGTTTTTGTAGAGATTTTGTTTGATTGTATGGAGGATCACTAGCGACTGGCCCTATTCAGGCAGTTAACCTGGGGTTCTAATGGGTAGCCATGACCAGTAAGGTACAGCAGGTTGAAAATGAGGCAGTAAATCATAGAAGAAGACATCGCGGAATGGTCGCGCTATGTTGTGAATTGGCAAAACTTAGAATTCAAGAACCATTGGATCGGGTCCCAGTGGCTCAACGGTCTACGAGCTCGCCTTTTAACCAGAAGGTGCTGGGTTCGAACCATTGTGGTGGGTGCGTACTGCTGCAGAGTCTAAAAGTGGGAGGACGAAACAGCTGTCCAGTACTCCCAGGTTTTCCAGTGGTTCTCTAACTGATGTCAGCTCATGATGAAATCCTCATTACAATCAAACGAATTTATTATCAAGCTGTACAATCGTATATATACATATATGGGTTTCTATATTAAGAAATTATATCCAGTGAGGGAATTACATCAAAGGTGTGAATACTTGAAATAATAATAGTAGTAGTGGTAGTATGAAATGCAATTAAAATGTTCGTGATTATAATCACAGTTTAATGTGAAGTGGCACGCAAATTAATGCCATATATATATATATATATACGATTGTACAGTTTGATAATAAATTCATTGCATGGAGGATTTCATCTTGAGCCGACATCAGTTAGAGAACCACTGGAAAACCTGGGAGTACTGGACAGCTGTTTCCTCCGTCCTAGTTCGGGACTCTTCAACAGTACACACCCACCGGGATTCGAACCCAGCACCTTCTGGCTACAAGGTGAGCTCGTAGACCATTGAGCCACTGGGACCCGATCCAATGGTTCTTGAATTCTAAGTTTTGCCAGTTCACGACATAGCGCGACCACTTCGCAATGTCTTCTATGAGTTACTGCCTCATCTTCAACCTGCTGTACCCTACTGGTCACGGCTTCCCACTAGAACCCCACTAGAACTGATGTCAGCTCATGATGAAATCCTCCATACAATCAAACAAAATCCCTACAAAACCAATACTTGAAAATAAATTCATTGTTGAAAGGAGTCTCTTCGCTGAAAATTGTATTCTTAATGCTACAATTGGAATTGTGAAATTATTAATAAAGATATATTATTTAAAGTTTTTAGATACATACTACTTATTGAAATTATTACTATTGTCACCATCATCGTTAACATCAATTCCTTGGTCTCTGGGTGGAACATAGTTCTCCAGCAATACATCTTGATTTCACTACGTTTTCTCCGGTGCTCTTCAGCTGACTCCACGATTGTTCATAAGATTCCATCACCTCCTCCTTATACATTCCTGCTAGGTTCAGAGTTAAACTCATCATTTCGCATTCATTCGTGTTTCACTCAAGCACGGTGGCCTGACGTGTGATGTTACTTGAATGTCTCCTTGGAGTGTACGTTCAGTCTATCTCCGATTCCTTCGGTAGATTTTCTGTGCAGTAGATTATTTTCAAGAATTGTTTTGTGAGGATTAAATTTGTTTTTACAAGTTTGACCACGGATTGATTGATATAAGTTTGAGAACCATTGGAAACCAACAGGGAATAATGGAGAGCTGTTTCATCCTAGTTTGAGAATTGTCAACAGTATGCACTGACTACAGTTCGAACCCAGGACCTTCCGGTTACCATTCAGCCACTGGGTGGCACCCGATTCAGTGGCTAGCCCATGAATTGTTACTTCTACCAATTCGTGATTTAGCGTGACTGGCACCAATCAGTGTCGTCAGTGGGACGTCCATCCTCACACGTGACATCTGGATGGACCTCACTGGTCACGACTTCTCACTAGAACCCCGGGAAGCTCGGTTCTGTAGCAAGTCACTAGCGAGCATCAGATTAATTTTCTATAGTTGGCTTATGAGGATTAATTTTATTTTTCGAACCCAAACTAGACTGATGAAACAGCTGGCTGTCCAATACTCCTTGTTGGTTTTCACTGGTTCTCTAACCGATATCAATCCGTGCGTGATCAAACTCATAAAAACAATAGATTATTGATTGGTTCGTTATCTGCTACTTATTCATTCTGGTCACTCACCCTGACTTCAGTATAGAGCGAATGAAGGCAGTTGTTGATGAAAGTTTGTTTTTCATCACAAGTGAGGCGAATTTCTGAAGAAATATAGAAGCAATGGCTGACTTCACACCTGAATTTTGTCCCTAATCCTAAGTGAGGCAGATGTCAGCAGTCATTTCATATTAATGAAGCTTTGTCTTACTTTTCTATCCTGGCTAGTCCTGACATCCTGGTCCGTACAGCATGCTTTATAGATAAATGGAAGAGATAACATCATTCATTCTAATTCCCCTAGTTAATAGTGATTGGTTCTTGTTGTTTTTGATCGTTGGGTATGTTCAGCACCTCCGTCCTCTTTGTGTGTTCATTTGAAGTCCTGTTTCCCGCTAAAACAACTAATAGGAAATTACAGAATTACTTGAACAGGTGCTGATATCCATTGCGTAAGACGTAGTAGATCTAATAATCCGTTGGCCTTGAGGATAGAGATTTAGCGTTTCAAAGATTTTGGGTGCTAGGTGTGACTATCAGTAAGAATACCATCACTCAATGCGAGTAACTTGTACTTGTAGCTCTAATGGCTCACAAACAGGATAGAACATGCATTCTGGATTGCGTATAAGTAACCCAGTAAAAACACACACTGTTTTAAGTACGTACCTCTGTTTTTAGATGCATGCATTTTCAACTTGAGTAAAGTTCTTTCATGTGAATACTCTAGTAGTCTTGTTAATCATATGTCATCAGTACTTTATACTAACTATCAGTGGTAGTTTAAACTTATCCTACACAATAAAGTGGGTTAATATCTACAAGTTTGGTCGTGTATGCTCCAGTAGTGCTGTTCCCTTCCGTCTTTTATTCACGATTAATATATATTTTACAAATAAATTATCTATCCCGGGAAACACAGAATGATGTTATATCAAAATCTAATGGATTTTACATTGGTGTAAACTATTTCACTATTATTTTTAGTTTATCTGATAATGACTACTCATATAACGTCAGTAGCTGCAGATTTTACACGAAAAATGTTTGGCTTAACTACAGATGTTGCTATGCATCAATTTCGGCTTTTTCCATTGATTGATTGAACCTAAATGTTCGGCTTCTGTTAACATGTCGTCTCCTGGTATTGACGCTCCAACGATGTATGAGGATTAACACTGCTATTATTTATTCGAGGGTTGGTGACTGCCAGTAGAATCCAGCATGAACATTTTGTCGTATTTGGGTTTGGTTACACAAATGTACAAGCAATCCGTGATGATGGTGTTGCCATTGAGACTCGAACCAAATACTCTTCGATTCAAACAAAAAAAACTGATATGTATTCCTCTATTGATGGAAGACAAAAGAGATTCGGAAATTGGTGATAAGCATAAATCTGAGAGAGAAGAAATAGTAACATGGAGAAATAATAGAGGTTTTAATTGTTATAGGAGATAATAGACAGTGAATTCATCACCACCACATTATCGATTATCTGCAGCCACTGGTTCTTGGCATTTCAGTAAAGTAAGAACAAAGATAGTTTCTGCAAAATAATATGATAGCATCCTTTGTTTATTTTGCTGGGTTCTCATCAGCTGCTGCTGCTGCTTACAGCCTAAATAAATTATAATTATTGAGTTCATGTACAGAAAAGGTTTCAACATACTTGCAAATTTTACATAATGTCAGTCGACAGTAGGTTCTGGAATTAATGAACACTGCTCAGAAAATCACGCTTATTTAGCTTTTATACAAGCAGTTGAAGTTTAAAGAAAGTAAATGTATATTAGAGAGTTGAAGGCAGTCGGCCACTGGAAGCCTTGCTGACCTAGGCTTCGTGCTAGTTGGCACTCACTAGTCAGCAAGGCGTATCTTCAACCTTGAACGAACTCATGTTCCTTCTAAGATTCTAAGCCGCGTGACCCGTTGAGGGATGCAGTCAGAGACGTTACCACCGCTGAGCTATTCGGGCTTGCGATTGACCTCCTCTAAGACTGTAGTGGGTATTTCAGTCTGCACCAAAGAAAGGACTAGACACATTACACTAGATACTAGTGTCCAATCAAAGTAAATGTACGCATACAATGGTGAAGGGGTTACGTAACAGTGACAAGAGGTGAGTAAGATGATGAGTGACTCATAAATTGTGTGACAATATACTGAGTTCAACTCAAATCATAGAAACAAAAGAGAAAAGCAGCATTACACTGCACTAACGGGGGTGACTTACAATCAAAAACCGACAAACTGGTCGAAGAAGCAGCCGTCGAAGACAGGACTCCAGGTGAACATAGACAAGACGGAGGCTATGAAAATAACCAGCCAACAACAACAACAACAACAGCAGCAGAAACATCCAGCGTCAATCACCATCAACGGGAGAGATTTGAAACAGGTTACTTCATTCACTCACTTATCTAGGGAGCATTGTCACAACTACAGGTACTAGGAACGGAAGAGGATGTCAAATCGAGCGAGAATCGGGAAGGCGAGAAACACATTCATCAACCTGAAATTGGTCTGTCAATCTTCGTCACTCAGCATCAACAACAAAATTCGGTCGGATTTTCAATACAAACAACGTCAAGTCAGTCAGTTCTTCTATACGGATCAGAAACTTGGCGGGCGAGTCACAAAGAATATTTCCAACAGCTTTTCAGTACATTTTCAGAAAGTCGGGGGTGTGCCCTTCTTCCTGTTCCCCGTCACCCCACTTATTATTATTGCTCCCTTAGGTTCCTAGTGGAACATAGGGCTTCAACTGCACGTCTCCACTTGCTTCTGTCTTCTCCTCTACTTTTCACCTGCATCCGTGTTAGTCCATACAGTTTCAACTCCTCTTCACACGATCTCCTCCA